CAGCTCCAGCTGGCCGTTTTATTCCTCTGTTTATGACCAATTGAGCTGGTTAAGATTCAAAGCTGTGGTAGTTGAGAATATATAAACTAAAAAGGTTCATATTCTAAGTGAGGAGAGAAAAGGTGGGAGAGATTTTGGCCTTTGCTGTCGCATGCCATTTTTTGGTTGTATGAAGACTTTGGATGAAATGAAAGACAACAAATCTTCTTTAAGTCAGGCAATGATTAGAGGAGTTTCATTGATTGTTTACTCATTACTGACAGCTGTGGAGAGAGAGGGGTTGCAGAATGTTTGAGGAAGTGAGGTTATCTCCTTCATCCTTGGTGGTGGAAATAATGAATCTATTGAAGCTTCAGGCTTATTTTTTTAAACCAAAGGTAGGAGAATCACTTAGAGGAAGGGAGTTGCTGGCAGCCATGAATGCTCAGGTTTCTTATCAGTTAAGAACTAGAGTATTTTGCGTTAGTTGGTTGCCTCCTCCAGAGGGTGTTCTGAAGCTGAATGTAGATGGTGCATCCAAAGGTAATCCAGGTCTGTCAGGTCAGTGGGGACAATTGCTCATGGCAGCTTCCTATTATTATGGAGTTTGTACAAACATGGAGGCAGAGATAGGATTAGCTCAGGCATGTGCGTTCATCGATGCATGGGTGTAAATCCTAATACATGATTGTCAACTGAGGACAGAATTGAGCTGCAAGGAATTGCATTGAGCATCAATTTTTTTCTTCTTTTCTCTACAGGGATGAAACACATTCATCTACCGTAGAGCCCTTAGTTATTTTTGCAGCTTGTGTACATTACTGTAAATTTATGTGACCTATTGACCATTGGATTTTTTTCATCTAATTGTAGGTTTTAACCATCAATGACTCATAACTGGTGGAATACAGTGGTAGTATTGACATCATTGATGTAGGAACAAAGGACCTCCCTCTGTCATTGTCTCTGTGTGGCTGGTTGCAAAAGCATAGCTTTACACGTAAGTTCTCTTTGGAAATTCTTGTTTATCCCATTGTAGTTAGTATTGAAGTCAGGCTCATGGCTGGTGGTAGCAACACTAATCCGAGGGAGCAGTGGCTTGTCTGGAGGATGATGTTGGTTCCCCACAATCTGGCGATGTTGATGATATCATTGTCCAGCTCGAAAGGCTTAAAAAAAAACTCTTTTGTCAATCTGTTGTGATGTTCTTTCTTATGAATTCAATTTCTCGTTGCTTAGATGGGAAGGTGGATGGATATTTGTATTATGTTGAAAATCATTAGGTTCTGTTTTTATATTGTATATAAGTTGTGATTTTAGACAAGTTATTGATTTTGGGGCGAGTATTTTTAATCAGTTTGATTGGTTGTCATATTGTCTTTGGACCCTTCGCGTTATGCCATCTATCTCTTTCTAAGTAAGTGATAAGGGTTGGAGTATAACACTCACTATGGTCATGATGCCTTAATTTAAGAGTGTTGCACTTCCTTGGTACTTCATCCACTAGAGAAGAAAAGTAGAAAACAATTAATAATAATCTTAATATTGCACCAAAATGCATCGAAAGTAAATGATAGGTGGGAGATTAAGCTACCATTGGATAATGTCATAAGGACCAAACAATAACAACATAAAGATTAAAAAAAAATATATTATTAAGTAGTACAATCACTCATATAAGCATAATATATGATTATCATAATAAAAAGTGTTACAAGCTCAAAATAACAAATTATAATCTAATAACAAAGACAAATATAATATAACTGCAATCAGAGGGAGGATACAAGAGATGACTCCATATATTTTGGTAGGAATTAATTCTTGGATGACAAACCATTTTGTTGGTACACTAATTAATATAATAAAGTATAATATAATTCAAATCTCAAAAGATAAACTAATTAATTTTTGTCATTTGCGGTTGAGATCTCTTTAAATTTTACCTTAAAATTAATCTGACGATTAATATTAACACTCCAAATTTAATATAGAAAATAGAGGCATAAGAGTATGTTTGAGTGACTTTTTAAAAGTGTTTTTAATACTTATAATTTTTCACAAATACTTAAAAAAAAAAGTGTTTGAAATCCGTTCCACCAATACCTCTACCACCACCAACCCCACCGCATCACCACTATCTCCACCGCCACCACCACCACTACTGTCGCCACTCTACTATACTCATCGCCCCACTACCACTGTTACTGCCACCCCACCATCACCTCTTCCACAACAACAACCACCACCTCAATTATCATAACTCCACCACCACCACCCCATTAGTGCCCCATCACCACCACTATTGCCGCCCACCTTATCACTGTAACCACCTTATCACCGNACCGTCCCACCACCTCAATTATCATAACTCCACCACCACCACCCCATTAGTGCCCCATCACCACCACTATTGCCGCCCACCTTATCACTGTAACCACCTTATCACCGCCACTATCCCACCATCACTCTTAACACATCACCCCACTGCCACCCAACCACCATCACCTATAGCTGCCACCATTACAACTGGTTGTCATCATCCATCACAACTATCACCATCTCCCACCATTACTATCATTGTTCGCCCTCACTATAACAAATTCTTAAATTCCTTTATTTCCTTTCTATCTTTGTAATTTGATTTTATGTGTGAATACAAATATGTTTATTATTGACCTTTTTTTTATTATTCTGTGTCTTTGGGCACGAGAAATAACTAGTACATCTATACATCACTTCATATACTCGTTACAAAACATTATTTTTCAGCATCACATAACTATTTACAAGAGATTTCACCTCTTACATCGAGGGCTGAAGATAAGGTCTCACCGTATGTTTTAAGTGCTGAAAAATAAGCTTAGCTCCAACGAATTATCATAGCTTTAGAGACTCGAACCCAAGTATTGTACCAAAAAATTCGAGTTCTTACCACACTAATTTAGGAATAGTCACAATTATTATCTCGTGGTGTCGTCCGCATAGCCATAATTTTAGTACGAGTTGTGTTATTTTGACATAATTTGTTGACTTAATTACTTATATTTATTGTATTAACAATGAATTTTTGTATTTATTAGGATCAATAATCAATTTAAATGGTAGATTAAATAAATAAATTAAGTATACTTCGAACATGAGTACAACAAAATAGGGGGTTTGCGGTCTTCCAAGTCGAGTGCGGCTCCTCTACTGTTAGGAGGGAACAACATTGTGTGCTGTTAGCCAAAAACGCCACCGTTTTAGCTAGTTTCCCACAATACCACAATGTCCTCCAAAATTGGCCTCGAGACGACGTCATTCTACTTACTCTATCACAATAAATTTCTTTATCCAAAAATTGGCCACCAACAAGTTGACACTATTGCTCTGATTTCCCTAGAAATATTTGAAATGAAACAATCAAAATTGGATCTTGATATTCACGCAGAGATTTGCATGGGAGTCTTGATGTTCACCATTGCTACCGCCTAAGTTTGTTAGTGCTACCATTCAACAGAGATTTGTGCGTCTTGATTGCTGGCAAAAAATCAATTCGTTCTTGAATTTGACCTACAACCTCCTTGCTACGCCGCCTTCGTATTCAACTGCCAACCTTCCCATCTCTCCCTCTTCGTTGCCGTTAACAATTGGAGATAATGATACCAATAATGCTCCCCATACCCAGTTGCACAGACTTTACCAGCTGTTTGATAAAAATGAAGAACAAGAAATATGGTAGTTCGATTATTTTGAGGATATCATTCAAGAATCAAATAATTCGTAGACTTGAACTGAGTTGAGAAACAAGATGATATAAAGGAAGAGAGAGTTGGTGATTTGATTATTGTTTTACCTTTTATTTTTTCAATACTTGTTTCATTTTTACGGGAAAAATAAAAAGGAGTAGAGAGAGAGAGAAAGGGAGGAATAAAGAGAGAGAAATGGAGAGAAGACTAGTGAGAGAGATAGAGGAATCGGTGACTTTAATTACCAGTTGAGTTTCTGCTCGTTACTTGGTCAATTTTGAGATAAAGAAATTAATTGTAATAGAATAAATAGAACGACACCGTTTTGACGTCTATTTTGGGAGACAACAACATACTGTGAGAAGCTGGCTAAACAGTGGCGTTTTTGGCTAACAACACACAATGTTGTTCCCTTCTAACAACAGAGAAGCCGCATCCCTTCCAAGTCACCACGGTGTCCGACTCTTCATCCATCATCTACAAACCCTCAATCATATACACAAACACTTCAATCTCAAAAATTTGACATGTGGGATTTTTTTTTTTTTTGGGGAAGGGGGGAAGGGGAATTTGGAAGATGGGTTGGGAATAAAAGTCTGCAAAATCCATCTAACCCAATTTTTGGAACTATATTTCTAATCTAGGTTACCAAATTCAACCCATTTTAGGCCTGTAATTTAAACTCATATTTATGGATTTCATGAAATCTGGTTGGGGGTGGGTTTCATATGGGGTTAAAAAGTTGAACATACAAAATGACATTTATACTTCCATATAACTTATATACCTCAAATAATGAAATGATTAAATATTAAAATAATCAAATATTTATACCACAAATAATTAAATATTAAAATAATCAAATATTTATACCCTAAATAATTAAATATTAAAATCATAAGAACACAAAAAAATATTCATATATAAACACTAGTTTGAATTAAATTAATTAAAGAATACAATAATTATTTATATATAAATATATTATTATAATAATAATATATCTGTGCGTGTACTAAATGTGAGTACGAAGTTAATTGAATGTTTAATTTTATTTTTATAGAGAAGAATTTGTGTTTACAAGAGTTTTTACGAGTCAATCCAACTCCTCCTACAAAAATCAAACAAACAGCCCTTTCCCTCAATTCTTTCTTACCCACTTCTTCTTCATCCACCCCAGAACCCTCTCTCTGTAACTCAATTNAATTCAATTGAGCTGGTTAAGATTCAAAGCTGTGGTAGTTGAGAATATATAAACTAAAAAGNGCCCTTTCCCTCAATTCTTTCTTACCCACTTCTTCTTCATCCACCCCAGAACCCTCTCTCTGTAACTCAATTTTCTTTCTCTCTCCTCTCTTTCACGGGAAATACCCAATCTCAAAATCGAACACAGACTCCAACTTGAATTTCCTACATATCACCTGTTCGAACATCAAAAGTCGATTTTTTAGTACAATTTTCCTTTCTTTTCCTCTATTTTTCTCGAGAAAATCCCCAATGGCTGCTGCACTAAGATCAAAATCAAGGAGAGAGGCAGCGTCTTTCACAGTTTACCAGTTCAGATACTTCATACTCAATCATATGCCCGCCGGTCGTATGGGAAGTTTTCGCTGGAGTTCCAGGACCAAATGGGACGATGTCTTCTCAAAACCGCCCCACAATTTTGTCTCATTCAAACCCGTCTCGCTTCAGGGCGAATTCATCGATAAGAATTATGGGTATCCCAATAACCGCAAGTTTTTGCATGGCTCTGATTACAGGAATAAGAGGATAATTGAGGTTTCGAGCTCTTATGGGGACCCACCTGAAATTTGGCAGCCGCCTGGGGACGGAATTGTAGTTCGGCCGGGTATGAAGTTCGTTCAAGTACGCAATGGGAACGAGCCTGGCTCTGGTTCGGGAGGTGGGTTCGGCTCGAATTCGAGTGATGGGTGTTGGGGAGGATCCAATTTGGGGAACAAATTTCCTACTCCAAAGGAGATCTGCAAGGGGCTTGACAAGTTTGTAATTGGCCAGGAGAGAGCTAAAAAGGTTATCTTTGAACCACAGTTTATCTGCTATGAACCTTATAAAGAAGTACCAAAGAACAACACTAGTTGTCTCCAAGAGAAAAAAAAAACATCTCTGTACTACTATACCTTGCACAAAAATCACAAAATATAATCACCTTTTGAAACCAGCCACTTGCATTAATAATTTAAATTCAATCGATTTGGATACCCTGGATTGTTGTGGCAAATTATGAAATAGGTTGGTTGCTCTGATGTGTATTTTTTGCTTCCTCCTCTCTGTTTGGATGAAATGGCATTGAGGACCTCATTGGGAATGCAAATACTACTAACTTTCAGTTTTTTGACATGTTTGTTTGATTGCCTGTGTGAGAAGGTGTTGAATTTAAATTGCAGAGTCCGTGTTGTAATATCTATGCTATATTGTTAGTAAAGGAGAAGGCTTTCTTTAGGGACAACTTGTGGTGGCCTTCAGTGTTTTTCTAATGGTATTTTTGGATTCAGTCAGTTTGGTTCTGCTGATGTGGTGTGGCAAATTACAAAGTTACATTATTCATGCTGATGGTTTGTTGGCCTTTGCCCTTGTGGAATTGCATTGCTTAGCTTGTTGGCTAGGAAATAGAGAAGGATAATATTATTGTTATTCCTCTGTGCTATTTGTGAGAGTTCTCCTCACTATTTGGTACTATTTTGTCATCTATTGCCTGATAATTGTATTCCCGGTTGCAGGTGCTGTCGGTATCAGTTTATAATCATTATAAGAGGATATTTGATGACTCTTCAGAGAAGGGGTATAGCCTTGAACCTTCTTTAGACTTTAGAGTTTTTATTGCATTTGTAATTTAGCTTATGCGCAAAAATTCATGTTATCCTTTGATAAAATTGAATTGGATGTGCACATATAAGCTTGCATTGTAACCAGTTCTATGGATATTGAAGTACAAAAAATTGGATTTTGTGGCCTACCATAACAGGGTGCAAAGAGTATATTTGGGAGCTGTGTCCTATAATTATAGAATAAGTGCCTGCGTTGCTGGTGTCATTATTAGTAACTTTTGTTACTATTTACTTTTAACACCTGTTACCACATCATGGGAGTTAGGCCTGCAGGAAATTCAGCCAATGACAAAGCTTACTCCACAGATATTGATTCAGTTGAACTCGAGAAAAGTAATATTCTTCTGATGGGGCCAACAGGTTCAGGTAACCTTGAATTATTTTTACCTTTAATCTCCTTTCATGTCCAAAGTTACACATTGCCAGTATATTGATGGCCGGAACTCTGAACAGAACTCTTGCTTTTGAGAAAGGAAATAAGTGTAGATGTTAAATTGACAAAAAAAAAAATCAGGGGTGGCCTCTGCGTGCAAACACTGCATTGTCAGTCTTGGTTGCTGATAACCGTGTGAGCTCTGGTCACTGATGGATCTAAAATTGCAATTATAATACAAAGGAACGAAGATCTTATATTCCTTGATTAAGGCCAACTTTCAATTGCAAGAGTTTCTGTATGAGTAGGAAATTTTTGGATAAGGATTGGACGAGTACCCATACTGATGCTGAAAGATATTATTTATTCCAATCTTTTGGTTACATAACTTTGGTTTGGTTTCAGTTCAGATGGCATTGGTTTTAATATAATTTTTCCCGTTTTTGTTTTGAATGTTGTTTCAAGGACAGGGAAGACATTACTTGCCAAAACTTTGGCACGGTTGGTGAATGTTCCATTTGTAATTGCTGATGCCACTACACTGACTCAGGCAAGCTCTTGATTCATTGTTTGAGCCTTTCATGTTCTTAAGGAAATGTTCTTTCAAGGTATCTTGCATTCTAAGAAAATTACAAGTGTCTCTAATCTATTAGATGTTTCGCCTATAAATCTACTCTTATGGTTTGTTGAAACAACTTTCACTTTGATATATACCAACATGAAATAAAAGTTTAGATTTGTCTGGCCTGATTCATTATTAGTTCTAGAAGATGGATTGATTTGGACATTGGTTTCATCTTTAGTCACATGTTCCTCTTCCTGAGCTACCTTTATTTGCATTCTCTTTTTTCCCCACTAACAGTAGATCTGCTACGGAACACAGTCTATCTCACACAAATACAGCTGCTGGCTCAAAGCTGTGAAAAGCCACTCTTATGATATAAGATTTAACTTTGTAGATATGAGTAAACTTATGGAAGGGTTATGGCGTACAATAGTCTTTAATAATTATATTCTATTTTCCCCCGTCGATGATGTAGATAAGTTTTATCCTTCTAAATGTAATTTGTTCATTTCAAGTTTGGTTGTGGATTGTCTAAACTATTTATGGTGGAGTTAAGTGTAAAATTTTTGGAATCTTCTTGATGTGATCATGATTACGCATTATTTATTTGCAGGCGGGATATGTGGGGGAGGATGTGGAATCCATATTGTACAAGCTCCTTACGGTAATGAAAAAAATTTCTTACTATTTTGCATGATTGTGCACATGCTAATTCAGATTCTGCATTCTACTTCTTGTTTTTGCTATTTAATTTATGGTACTCTTCTAGACAGCAGTAAACCTTTTGTTGAGGCCTGTAGTGTTGGTTTCTCTTTCTCTACATTATCTTTGAAGAATTGGTAGTAAAACTGAGTTACGATAACATTTGATAATTTTTTCTTCACCTTGTGCCAGATTTATTTCTTCTATTCATAAGTGTTGGTACTACTAAAAAGGTTTACATAAACAAGGCACAATCTATGAACACAAGAAGCAGCACCAAAAAAAATCTGCACAATGCTCCTAATACAGTATCCCGGAAAATCTCAATGATATTCTTTATGGTGATAACTTCTCATTTAACCAAAAGAAAAATGATTTAACATAAAAAAGTTATGCTTATAGATCCCCTCAATCAAGGTTCATATATTGGGTATATGAAAATTTGACAGGTTCATATCTTGATTGTATAGATGTTTTAGCTTCGTTTACTAGTCACTTACACACCTCTAAGGTTTTGTGGAATCTAGAATTCAAAATCTAAGCTTTCTCTACATTTTTATGGCACTAATAACTTTATCTTCAACATTGCACTAGATGTTAATTGTCTACTAAACAAGAAAAAGAGGAAACTATTATTCCCCCTTTGAGGAAAAACATAGAGACACTGTAAATACAATTCTATTTATGGGTTGAGGATCCTGGACCGTTTTTCAATTTGTCTCAGGTTGCTGATTATAATGTAGCAGCTGCCCAGCAGGGCATTGTGTATATTGATGAAGTTGACAAAATTACAAAAAAGGTTTCTCGATACACTTTTGCATTCAAACTGTATTATTGATGTCACTATTGTGGGTTTTTTTCATTATTGTTTTCACATCTTGGAATCTTAAATTGCATGCTCCTGTACTTTTGCAATTTCTCTGTTGATCTGCAGGCTGAGAGCCTTAATATTAGTCGAGATGTGTCAGGGGAGGGTGTCCAGCAGGCATTACTGAAAATGCTGGAAGGGACAGTAAGTGCATTTTTCTTATTTACTTGGATATCACATAATTCATACCCACCTGTTACTTTATAAAGCACTTAGGTAGTATGGCATGCTTGGAGCCGCCGCGGTACCCATCTGTTTATGGTTAAGCCGATCGTGGTCATAATTAACCAGATTCAATTATACCGACAGCAACATCGGTAAAAACATCATACCAATGGCAACATGCCAACATTGGTGAAAACATTGATCCTAAGGGCCCTTATTTGTTCGTTAACTTACAATGTTATGAATAATGTTTGGCAATAACAATACAACAATAACAAAAAATTCCTCCTATTACTGTTATAATCACCGTTCTTTTCATTTGGATGTTATTATTTTTAGAAATAGGGGAATACCCTGGCTAATTGATTTTTTTTGTAATTTTATGTTAGAGATCGTATCAAGCTATGGATTTTGGTTACATATTGTGGAGTTTTGGTGGTTGCTGACGTTGATTAGGAACGATATTCCTTTAATCTAGATCTCGCGCCTTTCATGTCTATTCTCAAGGTTGATCCACTGTAGAACATTTTGTTTGTCGGTTCATTAAAAATTATAGAAAACTAAATTGAAACCAGACTGTCAAGTTCCAAAAGCATAAAGTTTAGAATTAACATGGAATCAATTATATCATAAGTATGATTGGTATCAAGTGCACCTCATGATATGTTAACACTTCAGCCAAATAAACCCAGGTGTGACTTTCAAAATTGGGGCCCTCAGATTTAAGTAGTCATGCTTTATGTGGTTTGAATTTATCTGGCTGAGAGGAGAGGACAGCTGACTACTGGTGATGAATAAGAACGAAATGGAAGGTTATTTTCCCTTTGGCACACAAGGACAACTAGTTGCTTATTTAAACCTAAAAATTGAGCGCCAATAATTTACTAAAATTAATCATTATTGACATTAATAATTAGTAGCTACTTAATAAGAGAACCAACACACAAGGGTTTTCGAAATAACTCACTTCAACTGATCTCCCACTACGAAAAACAGCTTTGGTTTTTATGGGTCAATTTATATGCTGCCTTTCTTTGAGCTAATTATGGGCTTTTTGTTCCTCATAGTCTGATTTTAATTTTATTGTTCGAGCCTGAACTGTGGCTAGGAACCCAATATTACGCGTGTAGGAAGAATTACATTATAGAAGTTGAAACAGGTAGAAAAGTCACTTCGATGGATTCTTATTAGTTACTTCATTTTATACTGATTATGGAGTTCTCTCTCAGGTAGTCAATGTCCCAGAGAAGGGAGCTCGGAAGCATCCTAGAGGTGACAATATTCAGGTTTACATTTCCTTCCTTACGTAAGAAATGCCTGAGCAATATTGGATGATGAGGATGCAATCATTTGCAGTAGTTAGGAGAAAATTCGGGTTCCTCTTGTTTATACCTGGTAACACTGGGAAGGTATAGAGTAGAAAATGTTTGCAGCCTGCTCTTATGTAGTTGAAATATTATGCCATTGATGATAATGTAGAAGAAAATTGGGAACCATATTAGGTCTTGAAAATGGATTCTGGCATACTAGCTTCTCATTGGATCCCTGTTTCGAATGGATTCTTTCACTTTCCATGCTCTATCGTTTAGATTAGTTTCTGATTTCTGATAGTTTATATTTCACAGATCGACACAAAGGATATTCTCTTTATATGTGGTGGTGCCTTTAATGACTTGGAGAAAACAATATCAGAAAGGTCATACTGCTGTAATATTATGATATTTCTTTTCTCCGCTTTGCCGGATCATCCTTGTATCTTGTTTGTAAGCTTTCTGCAATGTTCTTCAGGCATCAAGATTCTTCTATTGGGTTTGGTGCACCGGTGCGTGCAAACATGAGGACTGGTGGTGTAATGAATGCTGCTGTGACGTCGTCTCTGTTGAAAACTGTAAGCTCACTNGGATCATCCTTGTATCTTGTTTGTAAGCTTTCTGCAATGTTCTTCAGGCATCAAGATTCTTCTATTGGGTTTGGTGCACCAGTGCGTGCAAACATGAGGATTGGTGGTGTAATGAATGCTGCTGTGACGTCGTCTCTGTTGAAAACTGTAAGCTCACTTCATTTGGCAACTAACAAGTCACTGCTCAGTACCTCTTCTTTTGTGCATGTTGGAAATAGCAATCTTACAATGATGTATATCTGTTTTTATTTATGCAACATACAGCAAAAGCATCTTCTTATTCACACCATGAATTACAAAAGATACATTCTGTATCGTGTTTTTTGCAGGTCGAAAGTAGTGATCTTATTGCCTACGGTTTGATACCTGAATTTGTTGGACGATTTCCTATCCTCTCTAGTTTGTCGGCTCTAACTGAAAATCAACTTGTTCAGGTAACATTGGTATTTTAGCAACAGTTGTGTCTGGTTATGATTATAGCTGTACTTGTTTTTTATCCTTGTAAGATCATATATTCATTATTATTAATTTGACACGTGATAAAACATTCACGTGACTTCTTGCTAACAATAATGTTTTGTAGGTTCTAACAGAGCCAAAAAATGCACTAGGGAAGCAGTACAAAAAGATGTTCCAAATGAATGGGGTAAGCTTTTCTTCTCAGACTTCTCTCCTTCCAAGTTGACTGAAGTCATATGTCTTAGATTTTGATACCATGCATGTGTGATAGCAAGGTTGTTTGGTCACGAGGCACAGTGGTACAATCATTCATTTTTGTTTTCAGTATTTTGATTTCCTTTCTCTGTCAAGTTTAATCTTTACTCATCTTTGCTAAGTATCTTTGTTTTCTCAGGTGAAACTACATTTCACAGAAAATGCATTGAGATTGATTGCTAGGAAAGCAGTCAGCAAGAATACTGGGGCTCGAGGTTTGCGATCCATATTGGAGAATATTTTGATGGACGCAATGTATGAGGTATGCATTATCTCCTTTTTCTGATAGCTTAGACTTCAGTATGAATCCCCATGTGTGTGTGTGTGTGTGTACGTGTGTTAAAGATGTATGTAGGATTCTTATGGTTGGTGGAGCTTAAAGGGTTGGGTGAATAACCTGCTTCAAGTAGAACTTGAAAATGGATGCTTTTAGTGGATACACCCACTTGGTTGACTGTAGTCGGACAATGATGTTGATAATTGTACTTCTTTTCTCCCCCTCTCTGTCCCTCTCCCTGTGTTACCATATTGAAGAAACAGCTAACAGGTAAAGTATCTGCACAAGACTTGCAATCAAATTTTACATCATAAATATATTTCCTGTTCTGAAATATGAGCTGCTAGAACCCTGTTAAATCCTTAAAAGGAATTGCCAATGTAAGAGTCGGTGACCTATTAAGAAGAATAGCATTGAACACTTTTGGCAGACTGTTAGATTTTCTTATGAACAGAGAATCATTCAGAAAAAGATTGGTGTGGTGCTTATGAACTGTTTGTTCTGAATTTGAGCTGGGTCCAGCTCGGTAGTTTGTGCATCTCCTTTATTTTGTCGACTGGGGATGGATGCCAATATACCAATGCAGGCAGTCATGCAGATGCAAATCGGCATTTCTTTTGCATGGACAAAATACATTGAAACCCTGATTTTATTATGAACCTTTTTGCAGATTCCTGATGTGCGAACAGGCAATGATATAATAGATGCTGTTGTAGTTGATGAGGAGGCTGTTGGATCTGAGGGGTGTGAATGTGGAGCTAAAATACTTTATGGCAAGGGTGCATTGGACCGCTATCTATCACAACATAAATCTAAAGATTTAGAGGTGGGTACTAGTCTGTAAGATGTAATTTCTCATTTTGATACATTGCATGCAGACCAATATGAATTAATGTTACTATGTTTTGTTACAGACAAATATAGAGGGGTCTGATGGAGAACCAGAGGTGGAACCAGAGCTTCCTTCTATTGTGGCTTTGTAGCTATTTACTGAGGTCTTTTCCTGGGCTTCCTTAAATTTTTGCTTTGTAACTATTTAATGAAATCTATTCAGGGTCTTACCCATGTACAGTGTGTAAATTTAATAAATTCAATGTGAAATTAGGCCAATATTTGTTTGTGCCATGTGAATGAGTGGTATTTTTTAGCTGATTTTTTTGTGTTCTAACATATGATTTGGAGAGTTCTTGATCATGAAAAGAATCAATGTGGCCTCGCAGTTGATCTTACAAAACAAGCCCTTCTCTTACGAAATTGAAGTTGTGGACTCGGGGCTAAGACTAGAAAAGGAGCGACTTCAATTAGGCCTAGTCTAAGAAAACAAAACAAAACAAAAAAACCACTCCATCATGTGTGACTTGATTCTGTTTTTGACACTTTTTTCACGTGAATACAACAACTATTCCAATTTTTTGACAAATCGTCCTAGAGGGGTGCAACCAGAATTTGTTGGAGATGACTCTAATGACAAATTTGATATGTTGTTGGAGACTAAAGATGACCTGATTTGATCTTGAATTTAATTCATTCTGATGGTTGGTTTCTCCAAGTATTTTGGAGTGGTTTGTGTTACCTTACCGAAAGTTATTAGAAGATAAGTTTGGAGTTACGATTAAATCTGGTGAGACTATAACGTTATGGAGCTATCGATTTAATTCCAAGTTAATATTTTGATGAAATTAGTTGTGGTGAACGTTGATATGATAGTATTGGTCTTGGGATTCCCAGACTTTTGTTATAAAAAGTTACATGCAGGAGGAGAAAAACGGCTTGTCAACTTCAGAAAATTGTACATGAGTGAGAGCACCATGGTGGCCCAAACCACATTATTTTGCGTGGCTGTATTATTGTACACCTAATTCTTTTCAAATTTCATAATGACAGGGATTTCGTACGTTCTTAGTAAAGATTTCACTGCTTGCAAATCAAGAAAAGAGTATTTGTGTATGAAGAGTTGTACAATACACGGTGGTACGTACGAGAAATTACTAAGGAAAAAAAAACATTAAAAAATTTATATATGATGTCCCATCTGAACATATTTGTTATATTAGAGTCACGTGGCCCCGAACAAAAAAAATTATGATCAATAGAAAAGTCGTATAACACGATATGAAAAATTAATCAGAAGTATTAGGTAATTTATATATATTACCATCTAAACATGTTTGTTATATTAAATAAAAAAACTATATCCTTACAAAAAAACAATTACTATTCGTACCTAAAATGCTAATTTGATAAATCACAATGATTTTTTTTTTTTCGTTTCAACGGTTAGAAGTATTTGGACCAACACTTCGACTAAATTCTTTTTCGATTCGGTCAAAGACAAGTTATCCACGCGGGTCAACTTACGTGTATCTCAACTAATCCCTTTTTCA